CATACTCGAATTTAATAATAATTATACACTTAGTTGTTTTGACTTCAAACTAATAAAATTATTATAAACTTGTCATACGAATCAGAAACACACAATAGCTAGACTTGAATATATTTTAATAAACACGATAGATATTTCAACCGTAGAGTAATACGCATTTGAGTACATCAGTGTCTATGAATACATTTTTTTATTAAAATATTTATGTATTCATATATATATATAAAGGCGCACAATGTAATGTGTACATGTTATGTAGATATTAAAATTAATAGAATATTCCGTGTGTGTTTCAGAGTGTAACGGAAATAAGAAAACCGCAAATGACGTTGGGTTTTTGTAATTAACTCCAAAGCCATAAATTATTACGTTATGTCTAGAGATTTTAAACGACGTTTGGTATCTGCGCAACTAGATTAGATTGAAAACGGGTATGAGATTAAACCAAAACATGTTAAATAAATAATAAAAAACTTTGTGTATCGTATAATACTTATCATTCCAAAACTCGTGGTATCGAATGTTAAAGTACTCATAATACATTGAACCAAAACTGGTGTTTGTATTTAATCAAAAAAATATGCATAAAACGATTCTTAGTATTTCCGACCAGATTTCGGGTTTGAAGTGTTTGAACTGAGGTGTATGATTTAACGGCAAGCGCACTGTTCGGATTGCTCAACGGATCCGCGGGTCACATCATTTTATAAAACAAAGATAACAAAAACAATATAACATAACCCTTGAGCCTATTCATTTTTACGGCGTACACTTCTTTTGTGACTACTGGACCACACGACATAATTTCTGCGCTCGATTTCGTTGGTGTGTAAGATCAGGTTATTTACCCTCCGACACGGGTGTATAGAGCTTAAAATTAAAAATAATTGTTTTGGTATTTCTTTTTGACACAAACTATTTAGAACCCGGTACGATTATCGGTACATTTTTTTTTCTCCAGATAGTTGATTGGTTCTGTTTATTCCGAGTGTTGCTACATTATTTTCATCGGTAATCAGTACATAAATCCAATGCAAATAACGGACAGAAAATGTCCGAGAATCCGCCACATTTGTGAAGACGTCTCTGTCGGCAGTGGCTAATATTGGCACATGATGTGAGACAACGAACACAGAACTAAATTTGGCTTATAGACACACATCTGCGCTATGATTTAGGTTGGGACAAGAGATCGAAAAATTGTTGTAAACATACGTGTACGAGGGAATAACGGAACGTACGCGTATTACGTTCCGATAACACGTAGTTTTGCGCGACTGCGTTTGTCGACCGGGAAACGATACGCGCCGCCCGAGTGGCTTCGATTGCGTTCAGGTACGAGTTGCGTTAATCTCGCGTTGCACTGAGATTTATCGTGGTTTTTACCGTTGTCAGGGTTAGGGTTGTCGTTGTCTAAAGGTCCGTCCGGCGAATCGAGTTCTCCGTGCATCCCAATAAAAAGCGCACAAGCGCGGTGAAAGGCGGTCAGTGCGAGGGCCGAGCGATGGGCGTATAAGTGCGCGCGCGCATGTACTTACCGCCTTTGATTTTTCTGCACGACGTCGTTCGTGGTGTTACCTATTATGTGGTATACGGTACGAGTTGCTTATGTTATACCTGTACGATAACGGTAACCCACGACTCGGGCGTGTGTACGTGTATAATCGGTCGTCGGCCGATCCACGGCAGTGTTAATAATAATATTATTATAATTGAATGATAATAATATTATCGTGCAAGTACATACAATGCCCGTTGATATATATTTCGTTCCGCTCGCCGCGAAACCCATAGGGGCAATTAGAGTTGTATGTTTGTTTATTTTTATTTATATATTTTTTTTGTTATGACTTTATTTTTAAATTTGTATCTGTACCCATTATGTGGAGGATCGATAATTATTCGGAGGTCCCCTCCTCTATCCCCCACACAATTGAGATCATGGCGAAACCATGTTTTAACGGTTATCGTGTGGGTCCATCCGACGACCAGTAGCTACGAACGCGATTTTTGCTCCACAGGCCGACGAAAGTTTATTGAATCGACCGACCAACGGATTGGTCGTCGAAAAATTCCGGTTATTTGGCGATAACTAGTGTATTGTAATTACAATGTACTTTATCTTATGTCATTGTGATCGAATCTTATGTCGAACTCTCGGAAAAAGCGTACGAAGATTGGATCGATGTGAACTCACATCTCGATGTTGTAGAGGTTCCAACAAAAGAAGATATCTGTAATGCGATTATGAATCCTTAAACATTTTACATGCTGTCACTAATGATGAAGTAGAAAAAAAGCGAGACATCCCCACGAAATTGTAGAAGTACTAAGAGTTTTCAGAAGAGCAGTTCTGCACCATGCGGATGAAAAAGGCTTCGGGCAACATTCTTACGAAACCATGGTCATCAAGTTACTCGACGCAAAACAACAGATAAACGCATATTTTACTTAGCATATACATTTTTTTTTCGTCACAGTGTTAATCGGATACATTACACCTTGGCAGTGGCGTGGCCAGGATTTTTAAATGAGGGGGGCTAACCACTTTTTTGGATAAGTAAGGTAAGAGAGGATATGAGAATTCACCCTTAACCCCCCCACCATCTATCACTAAGTTTCTAAACGTAATTCAAGCATTTTTGTATAGTTTTAAAAATATTTATTAATATATAATTTATAATAATAATAATAATTATTTTGGTTTCAGTGTTCAGTCACTTACTCCACTCTGACAGCTGCATCCTCTTAGGCGAATTTCTGGCAAATTCAGTTATTATTTCACTTTCATCGAATTGCTCTTTTTTATTTATATTAGCCATAGCCAACCCATTCAGTCTGTTTTCCGATATGGTGCTTCTTAAAAAAATTTTTAAGCGATTAAGTGCTGAAAACGTTCTTTCCGGAGTGAAAGAGGTAACTGGTAACGTGGCGAATAATTGTAAAAGTATTTTAATGTTAGGTCGAAGATTGGTGCGATGAGAGAGTGAATCAAGAGCAGAATTCGGTTTTGGAATAGTATTTTGAGTCCATTGTTGCCTCCATATGAACAGGTCAGCTCTGATTGTAGATGAGGTATCATCATGGAGATCTTGGACATATATTTTAGTAGGTTTTATAATATTTTTATCGTCATACATATTTAAATTGGCCGGAATAAATCCTTCAAGTGGCATAACATCAATAAGCCTTTGATTAAAACGAGCATCCATTGATTCTATTATATAGTCAAGATACATTATACATATAAACACGGCCCACGGGGGGGGCTATAGTCCCCTTAGAACCCCCCACCCCCCTGACTACATCACTGCACCTTGGTCCAAAAATGTTCCTAATGAACGGCTTCCTCGCGTAACTAGCGCGACGCTTCGTCGGTCGAGAAATGCTGCCGGTTTCGATTTCAAAAGCCTATCATCGAACGCGAAAACATTGCATACCCATATGATAAACGTAGTGCAGTTTAACAATGTGAAATTGTGTCTACGTTTTCAAACATCGTTACGTCCCGTTAGATAAAAGTCTTCTTAACTGTATACGTGTAACAGGATACGCGTCTTGTTTTGGGTTCCATCATTTCCCTGCCGTGACGATTTCCAGTTACGCTATTTGAATATTATAACGTTATCCGCGCGGCTGCTGTAGAGGTCACCGGCGCCTGCTCGCGCCACCGACTGCCGGCGCGCGGGACGCGTCTCGAATCACAACCCGCGCGCGCGCGGTCGACCAGAACCGAAATTCCGATACCGACGAGAAGGGAAAAAAAATAAGAAAAACGGTCTCGAGTCTGCGGTGACGGTTACGGATGCGTCGTGATCGTCGGTCACGTCGATGGATTTATACGCGGCGTGTACTCTCGTTTCTTATGCACGTACACACGCGCGGAGGTACATAAAATATACATACGTCCGGCCGCGAGCATTATAATGACAAGGTCGAGAACCAGTTTTTTTTTTCTTCTTTTTTTTTTTTTCTTTTCCCCCCCGTACCTTCGGCAACCGTTGTCGTGTGTGCCCGGTAATCGGTGTGGCGTGTCGTGGAAAATTGGACGAGTGTGATCGGCGGGAAAGAATCGAGCGCGTAAAACAAAACAACAAATCGGCCCGAAGAAATATGGGCATCGCCATAAGTAATATTGACGCGTATGTTATGCGAGAGTGCGGTCTGACCGCACACCAATATCGCGAGCGATGCGGTTTTGACGTTCCGACGACTCAACGTTTCTGCTCCTCCTTGGGATTATTTTCGACGATTATCGTACACGTGTGCGCGCCCGCTGCCGCATTTATCGTCTGCACATCGTCGTACCCGTAAACGTTCGTTTTCGATTACCGATCGGTTTGATTGGACGCGCAATACCGTTCGCGGTTCATTCGGATACATTATCTCACGTATCGGTGGATTCTTCGCGTTTTCATTTCTGTATCAGGTAGACGTGATCGTATTTTCCAGTCCAGAACTTATTTTTTAACTGCGAACGTAAATATTAAAGCGTTTTACATATAATAGTATAGGTATTTTCAGAATAATAGAGAGAGAGAGAGAATACGAAATTCACGATTCGTGAAGCGAAGGAGACGCGTCCACGGTTGAGATCAATAACATATTTATCGTTTACCACGTACGAAGTTGTTTTGATTTTTTTTAAATTTCTTCACGTTCCGTTCTTGTCGTTGCGTGTTGCACCGGCGTGTTTATTTTTGTTATAACGTTTTCTGGATACGTGCAAGTTGCAAACGTTTCGATTCGTCTAAAATCGGGACGATCAACGGTTCGACAATTGCACGTGTATCGTCGGTCGGACGGCGTTGTACCCTTCGCGGCGGGGCTTATGCACGACGATACGCGCGCGGATTTCCGTCGTTCGACGTCCGTCCGGGTTAATTGATGATTTGGATTTATTCACGTCCGCCGAGACAACGCGGACAAACCAGTTTCCTGTCAGAGCCGTACGTCCATACATTCCGTTCGGTGCCCGTAAAGCTTTTTCTCTTCCAGCCACTGGCGCACGTCCATTTCCCTTCGGCCCGTCGGTTTATATAACGCGAACTTGTTACGCGAGTGCGTGTGCGTCGTATACACCATTCGTGTGTGCGCGCGCCTCATCGACCGCGTGCGGCACTGACGTCCACCTTTCGCCCATTATAATGCACGTACGTGCGACCCTCCTCGCGTGTTCCGCCGTTTCAATGGGTGCCGACGGTCGTTGTTCAGAGCCACGAGATCGCAACGAAAACGATTGGGGCGCTTTGTGCTCGCGCGGCGCACGGTAACATTCGCACGGAAACGTCGCAGGACTCGTCGGGGTAAAAAATATAAAAAAAAAAAAAAACTACACGTATTCGTTTCTAAATCGTATCAGTGCACGGTCTCGTGTTTACCAGCACACTGTACGTTTTGAAATCCGTCCCCGCGCGGAGTAGTCGCTCGAGCGGCTACTACACCGCAGTGCGCGACGCGATTTGATCGCGTATCTCAATGTCAACGCGCGTTAAATCGCGACGGTAAAAGTCTACGAAACGCGATCGAACTGGTCGTATAATAACGATCGTACCCGGATCGGGTTATTTCTTGGTTAAATCATTTGAAACATCGCCGTGTGTAGCAGTACGAACGTTTTAATTAGCTCAACGTAAGTGTAGTCGTACTTAAATGGTTTTGCGTAGATATAATTTACTATACTTTTGTCATCTACGGGACGGATAAACCGTTGACGTGCTTGCATCATTAAAATACCTAATCAAATGTGTTCACATGCATTTACATTCGTTCCGGTCCAACCTGTATTTTTGCTGTTTAAGTCCTATTTGCCTTATGTCGATATAATTACTATGTAACACAATTATCAAATATAAATAAGATCGCGTTTGGTGACAAATTTATGAGGTTGGGTTGCTCCATTAGACCAGAATCAGAATTCTTTTTTTGATCGAAAATTCTTTATAATGTTTGCTAACGTGTTATACACAGAATTTTTTTCATACTCATAATGTGTGTATATTTGTATTTATATATATATACATCACACCCTACAGTCTATCAGAAATGAACAAAGAAAATATATATTAAATATAAATCATTGTTGACAGACAGATGGAGTTCTTAGCATAAAAATTCTTTAAATTCTTTTAGAAATGACGGTACTATTGGTCCAGAATACTTGGTTGAACTATAAAATCTTAATAATTTTTTTCTCTAAAATTGCAACATAGTAGTGCTATATATCTACCGACATTAAATTTGATTTTATCTTATCTACTCCTCGGAGTAGATATATTTTGAAAAGCATATTTCATTAGATAAAATTATTAATTAAATATCTAATTCAATTAGCAGACCTGAGGGTTTTATGCTATATAAGGTTATGACTAGATTTTTTATAGTGAAGAAGGAATAAAGTTTATTTAAATTATTATTTTGTAGAGGTTAACTTCTACATACGTACTTATACTATATATTATTTTATTATATGAAATACTTAAATGTTTAAAAAATGTTATATTCTAATGTTTTAAGTTAAAACAATTAAATATCTATTATCTAAGTACTTAAAATATATATTACATTTATAAATTAGTTTATAAACTATAAATTAAATTAAATATTTGAAAATTTTATTAATCTGTCTTTATTATTTTTGGTAGGATAAGTTGTCTTAAAATATAGATGAAATCATTAATGGGTATTTAAGTATTAAAAATGTATTTTATTTTACAAGTAAATCAATATTATCACATTTTGTATAAATAATAGTGACCTGGTTTTTAATTGGATTTTAATTAATGATTACTACGACAAAGGATTATTCTATATAGATATGTACAAAGTGAATCTGAAAACAGATGATTTGTTTCTTTAATCGGTCATTTTATAATATTCAACGAGCGATGAGTATATTATTTATTTTTAGAAATCTTAATTAAGAAAATAACAATTTGTACAATCCGTATTTTAAAGGACAATAGAATGCATTTATTTATAATTTTCCTGCAGTGAAGGTATGTGAACTCTTATTAACGTTTGTATTATGTTGCTGATTTTATGTTACACAAGTTTTATACAAATTGCCGCAAAATAAAATATACAGACTATATGCAAACGATATTTTCAATATTTTTCATATGAAAAAAATCCTAGTACATATTAAACCATCTTAAACCATTAGAAATATCAACGAACGACATACACACAAATAAATGTAAATAGTAAAACGGTAATATAATTATTTAAACAAAGAGAAAACAATGCTTACCATGGTATATCAAACATTGGCACAGACACCAACAAATGGCAAGGTACTCGGTAAATCCGAGACTCTTCATTGTTCTTCAGGCTATATTCTCGTTATACAGATAACAGTAAGAAAATTGGATTACGATTTGGTTCGCGTACTATATTAATTGCACATTACACTAAACCGGCGGTGGTTATTAAGGCAAACGGTTTATGAAAAAAAAAAAATAAAAAAAAAATAATAGGTTCAGTTATGAAGTACAAGCGTGGTGTATACGGCGAGAGGCGTACGAGAGAAGTGTCGTGAAACGAATAAATTCGCGTGTCGGTTGTCCGCCGAAGAGTGTGTGCACGAGACTGCGTGTATGTGAACGACGAGCACCTGGAGCAGGGCCACAACCTACTGACTCCGTTCTACAAAATACTGGCGACAATGAACTGCACGAAAAATAAGTAAAGTAAAAATGCACAAGAGGAGAAAGGCGCATATAATATAGTTGTGTCTGGCTGTGCGGAGGGAAAAGTGATTGGGGTAGGGGAATGCACGGCGTCGGGAGATGCAGTCTTCATTTCTCTCTCCGTCGTCGTTTTCTTACTTCCTATTCGTCTTTCTCCGTAACTCTAACACGGCCAACGGGTTGTAATACACGTGCATGCATACTTCGTATCGGTGGAGCTTAGATGACCTTTCCCGAGCAAATCCATCGTGATTAGTTTCGCGATTGTTTCAATGCGATGATTATTGTCATTATTGTTGTGATTTGTGATCCATGGGCCATGACTAGGCCGTTCGGGAAAACAATGAGTACATGGTTTCTTTTATTGCGAACGCGAAACATTTAAAAAAAAAACAACAACGACCGTTTGAAAAACGATTCGTATTTGCTTGTATTCTCGATGTAAGAAATTAGTATTATCAAAAATCATGACGGCTTTGGTTCACATTTCGTACAATTTATATGTCCTTATGAGACGATCATCAAAATGCGTAGATAACTATTATATAGGCTGTGGTTTTGCACACCGATTTTTATTATTGTTTCGTATCATTTTATACTAAATTTGAGACATTTCGATTTTAACAGATGCTATTATCATACGAGCGCGAACACAGAAATAATGAACTTATTTTGAACTGATGCAACAAGTCTCTTCTTGATAGAAATTCTTAATGACGAATTTGGTTTTACTGTAAAGTTTTCTAATGCAGATTAATAGTCCGACAAAAAGGAAGTGATTAGTATAAATTAATAATATTTTATAACCGTTTATATAGATTCGTTTAATTTACGGAAAAAACAAAAAGTATAGCTGAATTTTATAATAAGTATATTTGTTCATAAATATTTTTGAATTTCGTATACTGATATAATTAAAACAAGTTTTTAAATGAAAAATATTGGCATCCAGAATAAAAAAAAACAAAATATTAAAGCAATGTTTTGCTTATCAACGTATATTTATCTTACATTAAAGTATAATCTTCGAGCATTTTGAAATGCATTATTTTACTGAATTGTTGTTATAAAGGATTTATATTCAGTTGTGTAGTTATTTAGCAGTTATGTTTAATGTTTTGATGGACTAAGTGTAATTCTCTAGTTAAGTGATTTTTGACATACGTGATTGATTTATACTGATGAATATTTATTATATTGCATTATTACATTATAGTAGTCTAATGTGAAAGCTTAGGCCAAATATTCGGGTCAAAACGAATTGAATTATTAACAGGATCATTAAGACTATCTCTTTTTCAGATGAGATGTATACATTTTAAATTTAATAATAAGCTTTCTCTATTATTATTGCTTAAACTGTAATAATAGCCAAATGAGAAGAAATATTTAAAGTACAAGTGTGAGTGAAAGAAAAACATGCATAAACAAAAGTATATTGCATTTTTGAAGGCTAAAGCTTTCAAATATTAAATTAAAAACCAATTGTTGTTAGTAACTTATGTGTACTATTTTCATACAATTTATTTATTTATATATATAAGTAATAAATTATATATTTAAATTGATTTTAGAAATCATTTTAAACTGCTATAAACATAATTGTTCTTATTGTTTTTACCTTTCGAGCAGTAATAATTTATAAAAATAAAAAACCATACTTAAATTATGATAATAATACATATATATTATTATATTATATTATTTATTAAGATATGAAATAGAAAAAAATATGTTTAATACTAAAAAGATAGCAATGATGATAGTATAGCCTTCATATTTTAAGAATAATAAAAAAAAGGAGAATAACACGTTTCTTTTTAATAGCTATTGGTTCACGTGAACCCACGACTTTGGATTTAAAACTAATTCTCACGATTTAAACTGTATGAAAATTATATACTTTCCCTATGATACAATTCATTTTTGATTTGTAATTTCCTGTATTATTGTTGATCTAAATATGTGTCACACAAATTTTATTTTATTAACCTTAAATCATAGGTATTTATACTAATTTTACTCAAATAGTACACTTTAAGTATAGGTTTTCAAATACAACCATTATCATTGATATACAATTTCTATTGTAAGTAACATTATTTTTTTTTACCACAAATGTATTTTATTGTTAAAAATGGGTAAAAATTATATTCTACATTATGATATATATATATATATATATATATATATATAAGTTTTCAAGATTATTTCGAGGTTTATTAATTTATAGAGATTACGAATTAATTAATTTAATAACATTAAATTTTTAATGTTAAATTAACATTTTTTTTAGCAGTATCTTGTCGGTTTTCAAATTAATCAATCGTGATTTAAACCAAATATTTTTTTAATATTTTGTAAATTTTTCAACTTGAACACCTTCATTACTGTATTACTATTTATTCTCATATAAATATATATGTATGTTTGGTGTGTGTGTGTGTGTGTGTATAATTATATACAATAATTATTCCAATATATAAATAAAATATAACTACATGCAGCATATCATACAGGCATACATTTTTTGATAATAATAATAATAATAATAATAGAAAAAAACAATCAATTTTACTCAATTTAGTAGTTAAATTTAAGTTTTCATCACACCAAGATGACTTATTACTATGACCTAAATAACTTAAGTTCATTAAATTGGAGGGTCGTTAATTTCCTGTTCCTGTTTTAATAACGGTTTAAATCAATTTAGCTGATAAAGTGAGTTAAATTTTTACATACCTACTTAAATTTTCCATAATACCTTAAAATTATATTGATTCAGGTCGTAGTTTAAATAAATTAAAAGAATTTAAATAAATAAATAAATAAATATATATATATATATATATAAGTATTTTATTATATTAAATACGTGTAATAATTTTTTTTGCAAATTTTGATGAAAATTAATCTCTTTATAGTTCGTCATTATTTATGAAAAAAACAAAAACAAAAAAATTATAATATTTTATCTAATTTAAGTTAACTACATGGTAATATTTAGAATATTAAAACAATGTTTTTTTTAAGAATATAGTATAATTATAAACGACCAAACACATAATGGTTAAAATTTAAAAATTCAAACGTGTTATAATTATAACACTAAGTGTAAAAACATAGGTTAACAATACTTTTGTTGAAATTAATTAAGTATAACAAGTTCTAACGTATGATTTATAACGTATTACGAACAAAAATGAGTACAAATATAATGTTTATTATGTCTTTATTCCATTAATTATATTTCAGCTAACAAATTATTGAATTATAAGTGTTTTAAGAAATACTAGTAAACTTGTTAATTTATTCAAATTAAAACATAATTGATACGTTAAAAAAGATAATTGTTTGATTACTTTGATAGATTACTGCGAAAAAATGTGACATATGCAAATAATGAATAAAAAAACTAATTAAAAATACATTTTAAAACTGAGATAGTATTATGATTCTGATGATATTTTAATATATTTTTTTCGAATTTAAAGACGCCCACTATAATAGCCAATCAAATTATTATTATATACCACCCAAAACCTGTTCTCATTTAGCTTTTTTAGTTCATGTTATGTGATGAATAGGTATCAGTTGTGGTAATTATCGCTGTGGCCTTTAGCGTTTAAAATCACACATTTATAGCCCTGTGTAGGTTGTAGGTAGACATTTTGATAATTGGCTGTAGGGTTCAAAATAATTTCACTATTGGTTTTAACATTAATCAAAAATTTAAATAAATGATTATGAGTTTTTTAAAATATAATAAAATACTGATAAATCTTTAGTCACCATTTAACAATGTCCTAATAGTATTAGTAATAGTTGATTTTTAAAACTTAAAGGGACTCAAAAGTTATTTTACGTTTTATTTAAAATATTGTGTTATAATGATATAGTTATGTATATAGTATGTTATAATTGATAAGTATTATTTTATAATACATTGTGTATTTATTTTAATTTTATAACTAAGGATTTCAAATAATTTCACTTGACCAATTTAATAAATTGTAAACTTTATATTGTTAAAAATTTTAATTTCAATATATTTTAGTAAAAAATATTAAATATTAATCCTTGTGACATTTATTTATATTATGTAGACAAGAATATTTAAAGAATTAACAACCTTCATACGAAATCATCAGAAATATTTATAATTTCTTACTAATTTGTCATTTAAAGAACTTTTTGGTCAACATATTATTGGTGATACATATTGAAAAATAATATTTGTAGTGGAATATTGGGACAAACGCTTCTCACATAAATGCCATAAAATGTTATAACAAAATAAATGTTCTCCCTTAAGAATACACTTTGGTGAATTTTCTCTGCGAAATTAAGTACTGTAGTTATTTATACACTGTTCAATAAATAAACTAGAATCAGATATGAATTATGGAAATGTGTAAGATGAAGATACAGAAATAGATTCTAGTTTATGACAATTTATGATGCATGTCTGCATGTATTTTATAATTGTTTTATTCTTATTTTTCTAGTATATAGGTAAGTGATGATTTAAAACAATTAAAAGATTTATAATCTGAATAAAATTTAACCATCCATATCGTATTCGCACTTAAGAACTGAACACGTTTTAATTAATTACATGATAAATTTAAAATAGATTGTACATGTAGTTATAAATTGGAAGATAAATTCCATAATACGATTATGTTTTTGACAAGAGACCTAAATTCGGATAATGTTCGGAATCCTTGTTAATTATTGCTCGAAAGAAAATGTAGTAACGTCGTGATTAATTTAACGAAGTAGTTTAAAAATAATTTATTTTATACGTGTCTATGCAATATGCACGCGTGTTTACTATTTTAGAGTTTTTAATTTATGCTTATGAATAAATTACATGAACACAGTTATATTAAGCAGCAGTATTTTTCTTTATAAATTTAAATATGATTTATAATTTTGTGACTATTATGTAAAATTAGTTTTTTTGTACAATTTATAATAATATCTATGAATAAATCAAAGTAAAAACTGCATTCTCACTAATAATCGTGTGGTTTTCAAGGTTGTATGGTGTATTATATTATTATTTATAAGTTATTTCTTAATGCACTTGAATATTATTTTTGAATGCATGTAAAAATTTTTCATCATAACATTCGTCGATAAATTGTTTTCATTAATAAAACAGCGTACTGGCATTTACATAATTTTATATGTACGATAAAATAGTTCAACTATTTTATCGTACATATAAAATAGTTCAACTATTTTATGTAATAATAATCATGATAATCTCTTGACTCCAAGAAGATTGAAATCTTTACGAAAATAATGTTGACAAGTATAAATATTTAATAGAATGTATTTATATTAAATACGATTCGAAATATGTAATGATAGTTAAATTAAATTATTTTTTATTTCAAAATTTTAGTTGAGCGAAAATAAAATATTAATTTAATAATGATATAATTATATAAAAAAAAAACCAATTTAAAATGCTCCAATATTTTTTACGGCATTTTTTAAATTAGAATATAGATACAGATGATACTTGAAAGAAATATTTAATTAATAGTGAGGTATGTTTAAAGTTTGAAAAATTACATCAAGACTTTCTTAAATTGAGTTTCACTCAGAATCATTTTTTAAATGCCTTGATTTGTTGTTCTTTTGGAATAAAAAAATAACAATAGAACATTGTCTTGTATCAAAGAAAGTAAAGTGAGACGAGTTCTTAACATTTAATATTTGTATAATCTGTAGACGGTTGTAGCGCATTTCTTTTTAAGGTATAATTATATATTTTATTGTATTCACAAGCTTAACAATTCATTATTTACGTGTTTATATATAAATTACATTATATTATTTATTTTATTCGTTTATGTACAAAAAACTTAATTTCATAATAACATTTTTCAGAAAGAAAATCTTATCATTATAATTTTTTTCCTTGGACATTATAGTCTTGTAAAATACAAGTCTAGTGTTCTTGTCATTTTTTATGTACGAATTATTTTTTATTATTAGTATCATTGTATATATCATTGTCGAAGGTCTTACACTATAATTCCTTAATAAATATACAACTTAGATGGTGATATAAAACGCAGGTTACTCAACTCCTTTCTTGGTGACATTTTAATATAGGCCCATAGTGTAATTTGTAGTTTTGCCTGAAGGGAAGGGTATTTTTACAACATGTTATTATTAAATAAATAATTATTTTATACATATGTTCTCTAAAAAAAAAATTCCAGTCGTTAAATGTTCTCCTTATTAAATTAAAAATTAATCCCTACCGAACATCGTATTATATTGTTGTCGAGTCTTCGAGGAAAAAATATAATCAACATCAGTGGTATACTTATGGAGAGGGGGAAAAGGAAAAATATTCCTTCTTTTAGTTTTTTTCTTTCTGTAAATAATTTGCAGTTCTAATATGACTTTTGCCTTTTATGAATGTTCAAAAATCTTGTAAATATATGATAGAAGATAAAAGTCTTTCCTTATTTTATATATCCTGATTAAACTACTCTACGAGTTATGATTAAAAATGTGTTAATTTTAATTCTAAATCAATCAGTAAATATATAACGGTTCCTACTTAGCGATCCAATCGAAAAAAAATTATTTGAAAATTCAAAACAGTCATAATATTTTTTATTGCTTACAGTACAAGAGTATTGGTTTTCAGATGAAAGACAAATAGGGCCAAGAGTACCGGAACTGTAATAAACTATAGGTTGTTTTAAAGTCATGTAATGCGATACTTAAATATTATCTTATTGCCTTATTCGGTAAAAGAGGTTAACTGCGAGTAAAACGCAAACGTCTAGCCTCGTCGTAACACATTTTCCGCCAGTATTGTTCCATTTCGAAATGCGGGCAAACGACGTTTAGGATGAGATGACGACAAAAAGGAAGGGAAAAAAGCAATCGCCTATAGTATTTGTAGAGAAAGTATGCCGTATCGTTATAATTCACACAAATCAATTAAATGCCTTAAAAAAACGCATACACGCACACGTAGACGTACACATACACACACGTACGCATAACCGTATGTATTTCCGGGTTAACAGTTATAATATTGCGGGAAGATGTCGGTGTTATGATCAAAGAGGTGTCGACAGTTTCGAGAAGTCAAGTGCTAAAGTGGCAAACCAGTTTTTGATGTGTATTGAAAAAAAGTCCAAGTTATATTTATCTAAAAAAGGCATTTAAGTGATATCTTTTAAAGTTGTTTAATTTACATAGATGAACACGTTGCACTAGATTTGTCTACAAACAATACGCATACAGAAATTTATAAATAGTTATTAAAATATCGGACTCAAATTTATCAATAATAATGAAGATTATTGTGTATTTCGAATGTTAAAAATTTTACATTACCTGAGATTATGATTATTACGAATTTATTGATATATATATATATATATATATATATATATATATATATATATATATATATATATATATATTGTAGATTGTCAGCCGTTAAATTGTGAATGTGTCACATTGTAGAGACATTTTCGGTATATTTTGAAGAGTATATATAAATTAGTAATTAGTAATTTTTATAAACCAATATATTCAAAACAAACTTATCGATTACATTATTTTTAATTATTTGTTCAAAACGTTCTAAGACAGACTGTAATAGTAAACATAAATCGAGTTTCAATGTTAATTCATATAATTGTAATATAATATGTTATCGTTTATACGAGTATGTTAATAAAAAACGTTTCTCGTTCAAACATCGAAGAAGAAGTCGTTTCTGAACAATGGACGTTTTTCAATTTTAAGTATAATTACAAAAAGAGTTATTGTAAATCAGCGAAATGCACAAAACACAACGTGTAATGCGCGACTAATTATTTCTTTGGTTCGTAGAATACCTCCAGAACGCATCGTCGGTGCGCGTAGGACCTCGAAACGATCGTATAGGCGCTAATCCCTGTTTTACGTGTGCGCAGTGCGTAGATCAATCAAATCGTTGACAAATTGTTGTAATTGTTATTGTTATTTTTTAATTATTAACTGTTTTATTTTTAACGATGGTTTTCACTTTTTAGAGATGTGTGTAACCCTATTGCGTCCGGTAGTACACTCACGTTATTCGCGGCGCCGGAAGCAGTATTCCTGCACCGCCGTACGAGCGCGAATCCGTGGTGACCGCGTGATCTCTTCGTCGCCGCGGCGGCGATGACGTAAAAGCCGAGAACCCGGTGTACGTACATTGTTGCAGCAATCGCATGTACCGGTAACAATGGTCGTACAATACCGCGGTAACGCCGGCGGACGATTGAAAGGGAGAGCGGCGACGGCGACGAAAAACAAAAATGTCACGCGGAGAAGAAACCCGAACGAAAGTAAACGTCGCGTGAAACGATTGCGAAACGTGCTCGCGACGTGCACAGAAAACGTCACGTTGTCACCCGCCCGGCACGTCCGTACGCTTTTCGGTCCATCGTTACGGCCGCCGCTGCCGCCGCGCACGGTTCCCGCTGGTCTTTTGTCTCTCGCTCGTCACCGAACGACATTGCGCAACAACGGTAGCGCGCCTTTCGCAACGTCGCGACGTCCCGCCGACTTCGGTCGCAACGATAATTGTCGTCCGGAAACCCCTCCCGACGTGTCCGTATCCGCATCGGGTCCCGTACGGCTGCCCATTCCTTCGAAGGCGAGACCGCATCGGATCCAAGTCCGGAAGCCGGCGGGCACGGACGTATCGGTTCCCCAATGACATTTTCCACTACCGTTCGCACGACCGAAAATGTTGTTGACGTGCAAAATAAACGAATACAAAATAAATCGAAAACAATTAAACTGATCGAAACTTGTGGTTCGAACTCGAAGGGAACGCTTTTCACACATTCCGCTCCGGTAAGTTTTACCTGGTTTAAATTGATCCGGAGATTTTTTAATAACATTACAAATGTTTCGCTGGTCTACAGTTGTTTTTTTTTCCAGGTATTCTCGCTGCGGAGCTTTATACACGAGGTCAGCCTGTATCTGCTTCAAAATGTCCATGGAACTGTAAACGTTACGACGAGCAGCCGAGTTATCGGTGCTTAATTTGGCGTGCAAAGATTTGTAGCAGTTCGTGGTCTGATCGTCTGTACTCGAGGGGGAAGTGTTAGTCGTCAACGTGATGGGCACGTAATCGAAAAATGTAGAGAGTTTCGGTGAGAATAGCAATTCGTTATCGTAACGGGATGCAATATGGTCACTTAATCGATGGCAAAGTTACTCATCCGGACCCGTACGGAGTAAAACTCTTAACGTCTGGTGGGAGCCGATACGGTACCATCCTTTCGAATAAGGTACGACCAGACCAGATACGAGCTTAGCTCAGTTGGTATACGTATCAGCTATTGTTAATGTATTATCAATGAAATAATTTACTTTTTGTTATCATGTAATTGACACTAACATGTAATTAAGATATACGTTGTATACCATTTTATGCACATTATTTAAGTCACAAATATTTCGAAGAAGATAAATCTCACTCTCAAATAAGCACCAATTTTCGTACCTGTGGACAATGAACACGGATAGTAGTGCGAGAACGCTTAGCGTTTTAAAATATTGGTTAGTGTAAATAAGATTTTTTTTCCGCGAGAACGTTGGAAAAATATCTAGCTCGTATAATCAACGGTGGAAAATATTCCGTTGCAAAAGATTTAATTTCTTGTCATAAATATCGTTACTAATGAGTTGAACCATAATAATTTTAAAAAGAAAAAACTTTACATCACGTGATGTACTCGTCGTCACCTGCAGCATTGAAGTATTGTTTAATTTCGCAATTTCGCAAATTGACATTTGGAACTCTACATTTTGGTTTTTAACCGAAGGTTTGACGATTATTTTATGTTCACTGAAAAATTTAAATACGAAAATATGTACAAAGTACCTATTTAGCGTTCTGCACTTCAGATACGTGTTCAGAAACATCGAGTGAGTCACAAATAGCTATATTATTAGACTTCAGGTATTTTCAAACGCAATGTGTTCAATCCGCGTACAACTTCATTTTGTTGTTCCGCATTCATTTCGAATTCGTAACTTGACTGCACACATAGCTAGACCTATAGAAGATAGTCCATACCTGCGGGGGTTAAATACGTACACGCACCAGGCTCCGATGGGTGCACGGTGTTGCGGCGATTTTGGTCGGTGCCGGGACACACGCGTCGATCAGTAGTCGGGAGAAAGTGACCACCGGGTGCAAGTACCGCCACCGACGACGTCGTTTAATCGCGATGCCGTGTTTGTACACATCGCTTTACACTGTAATAAAACTAATTACGTGCCCGTCGGGCGTTCGTATTATCAACGAACGTACGTGTAATTATAATGTACTGTATTTTTTTTTTTTAACGTGATACGCGTCTTAAAGTGTGTTTTGTTTTTTTCTCCAACCGCGGATCGTCGAATAACGGATTTCGTGCACTGTGGCCCTAGTCGACAGCCTCGGTTTCCGTCGGTGCCATATTGGACGGGCGTTGACGATAACGTGCGCGAAACGGGGAACGGCCGCATGGAATAAAAAAAAAAAAATCCTCGGATGAGCCCGAAAAGCGTGAAAAGCGACGTGCGCGCGCGTCTCACATTGGGTGGTGGCGATCAACGGTAGGGGCGGCTCGTTAGGGGAAACTCTTAGACTGCGCCTCTCTTTTATTAAAAAAAAAACGGTTTCTTGTAAATAATAACTATTTAAAAATGTATAAAAATATTTTTATTTTTATTGAAAATATGTTACAGCGTTTTCTATATTTATTATTATAAGTTAAAAAATACAAAACCTATAAATAGTTATTTCGACGATGAAAACACTATTTTAGTAATTTCGACGACGGTCGCCGTTTCAGTGACACTGACGTCCGACAGGTTCAATCGTAACATGTAATAGTTAGGCTTGTTGGACGGCTGGAGCCGAGGAGCATAATCCGCGTGTTATAGACGCTATTGAAACTGAATTCACGACAGTAATTCCGTGCCATCGCACCGTCGTTAATCTCTGTAATTCGCAGATAAAAAAAAAAAATGCAGAACTGAATCAGTTTATAAAAAAACTTACCATTAAATCGAGTTAAAAATATTAATTAAATATTAAATTAAGTATTAAGTATAATTAATATTTCAATAAAAGGATTTTTCTTGTTCGTTGTTGTATGGAGTTTTATTTTACCCCAGAATATTTACTACGAGCCGTTACTGGTCAACGGTCGTGGACAAATCGGTCGGCAAAACTCATTCGAGTGGTGCGCGCGAGGGGAGAACGTCTTTCGGAGATGAAACGTGCAGACGGACCTCGGAAGGCTCTCGCGATCGACTTTAACGCCCGCGTACGGTAAACGGAGATTCCGCGGAGATTTCAACGCCGCTGGAAAAGCAGCATTACATATACGTCCGCGGCGGCGGACCCGGTCCGAATCGAGATTGTAAATACGCAATATTATAATGTGCGTTTTACGATGTGTCACACGCGCGCTCGAGTGTGCGTTCGGATGTCCGCCGGCCCGAAGGCGTACACGATAAATGTATTAAGTACGATGTATGCAAGCGTACGTTGCGTTCACGTGTACTTCTATGATATGGGAAAATAATGTGTGCCGTCTACCCGATCGGTCGTGTGTGTACATGAAATGTAGTATAAGTGTATAATAAACCCGGGAGGCGAGAGCTTTCCAAAGAAGAGAGAAAAAAAAAACTAATCGATCTAATCGTGGCGTGTATGCTAATTAACGACCGTCAACACTGACGAGTTCTCTCTTTTTCTCTCTTAAGGATCCGCACGCTTAAACACTCGGAGCTACAACAGTCTCGTTATACTTCACGGCAACAATGATATATATATACACGTGCATATATGCGACCATATGCGGCGTGCGAATTAGCGTACGATTTTAGTCGTCATGACGGCCGTCCGTCAGTCACAACATCGTCAATATATTATACCGTTTTTATTCGTACGGCCTGATTTTCCTCCATATGTCCCTCCCCCCCCGGCGACCGAACGTTGACCGGTACGTGTGTATCCGTCCGGTTTCCACGCCGCGCGCGTCGAGAGAGAAATTTCCAAATTCGACACCGCGGGCGCGATGAAAAACGTAGTAAACGCAAACGTGATGTCGTTTTCTTTCTTTCTATTCTCCTTTTTCGGCCACTACGCTACGCATATATAATATGATATGCACTCTAAGTGGTCGGATGTTTGCATAAATATGCACACACGTGACGCGTTTTATTCGCTTTTGGACTGCAGCAACGATCGGTTTGTATAATCGAAAAAGATTTCGATTTTATAGCCTCAGTCTCAAATCACGTCGGCCTCTTTTCAGTTGTCGTAAAACTTTCGGTCTACGTTTGCACGTATGTGTGTGTGTATCATAATAATATGGTATAAATAAAAAACGTATTTATCTGTTTTCGAGTCAATCCTGCGTCTTGTTTAGACATTAATTTTTTTTCTTTTAGTATACAGACTGGATTATTTTTACTTTTTATGTAAATTTATTCACAAATTTACACCATAATAGTATATCAATGTTATCTTATTGGGGAAATCGTCTTCAATTTGTACTATACAACGTATTCATTAACTATAAAATATTAAATATTACATTTTATCATTTATTTAAAATGAATTCAAGTCTGTTCGAAGTGATTACGCGAATAAATTCGTAAATGATATATTATAATAAATACATTGTTATAGATACTCTTTTTTCAAAAGTCTTCTTTCTTAGAGTTGTTCCGTATAAGTTATAACAACAAATTACTTGTGCTCTGAGTTGTGGGCACGATTGAATTTGGAAGCAGTGATTTAAACAGATAAAATAGGTATATTATTAGGTTATTAATCTATGTAGTAGGTATTCTAATATTATGTTTCTTATACAAAAATGTATACCTCATTAAAATAAATGTAAACATTTTAATAAAATCGTGAACAAGTAAATTACTGTTAAACTTAAACGGTACTTGCGTATAAAATATTGTATGATATAGCCCAACAATTGTTGTGTAATGATTATAATATTATAAAAAGTTAAGGATTGTTATTTCTATAATTGCAACAAAATTGCAAATTGATTTGCTAAGTTCATTTGTTTTATTATTGAATGAAATTTTCAAAATAACACATTCCAATATGGCGAAATACTGAAATAGCTCATGAATTAAAATACTTCAAATTACGGACAGTTATAATGTATTACAATTTAATACTAGATGTTATTAATTTTTATTAACTTTATAGAATCCTCGACGTATTAATATGAAAGAAATATTTAATTTTATTGATATTGTATACAATATTTTTTTAAACCTAGTGTGATAAGAACATTTTCTCGAAGAGCTCTAATTGGCAATAAATATAAGAATATATTGCTACAGAATGTTAGGTTTTTAAATCATCCGAAACACAACTACGAGCATATACATTATGTTATATATTGTATATAAACATTTCTAGTCGTGTTTTAATCATAAAATTTGTACCTATATTTACTCTACACTTAAATATGCATTGGTATTTTAAAATAATTAACCACTTTTAGAGCTTATATAATGTTACAATAATTAATCATTGTTTATGGCATATCGTTAAAACCGAAACACTAACCAGGAAAATTTTGTATTAATAACGTATAAAATATATGTGAACTCCGATTTATAGATGTATTTTCAATAGTTATACGGGCAATTTACGAGTTATGAATCTTATAGCCATAAAACAAAGTGCTTTAAATGATATAGAACAGCGATATGCAATATATTATTATAAAAAGTATACTAGAATATTAAAATAATGACGATCAAATATGTAAAAATATAAGACGTACGTGCGTACCAGCAACGTGTTATATTTGACTTGGATAGGAAGATGAGAATCCTGAGAAAGTTTCTAGTTAAATTCAAGTGAATATATATATTATATTATATCTTATAATAGGATAATTTATTTCTTGTTTTGTGTGATAAATAGATTTTCGAAGCCGTTCTATTAGCTTGTTTTCTTCGAAGACACATATTTATTTATTACTAGATCGGCCATAAATTCGTTACACGATACTATACAACTGCAAGTTTAGTTGGACTTTTAACAACACTCATGTCAACTCGTCCGTACAAGTTATGGTGTATTTATCACTTTACGACTCACACACACACACACACAAACACTAAAAAAAAAGAAGTTGAGCTGAATTTCAAATTGAAATGTGCACCTCGTTCTACGCAGATGATCCAGTCTCGCCGTGCAGTTCACTACATTATTTATTTCGTTCGTTTTATAAACGTTGCCGAGTCGTTCCAATATCAAATGTACATACATAAGACTGCAGCAGCGACGTAGATTTATTGCTGCGGTTCTGTGAGCGGCCACCGACTTTATATAGCTGTTATGTTGCCAGTGCCGCAACTACACTAACTTGGAACCGTGTGTAAATAAAATAAATACCCTCCCCCGCATCCGGACTCTGCAGAGAAACCGTACCGTATTTGTAACCAAACTATTTTGAATTCCGATTATACAGGCTGTAAAAAAAAACATTGATGTACGATAATGTATTCAAAACAAAATCAATTAATTATTTTTCAATCTCCATAATTAATTATTATTACAAAATTGTTTAATTCTCTTGCTTTCTACATATTTTTAAAATATTACCATTGGGCCCTGTTATGAGCTAGGGTCGTGGGCCCGTGTGTTTGACACACGCAACACACACGGTTATTGCGGCACTGTATGTTGCTATATATTGTAGAAGATAACGTTCGTTGAAATCTATATGAAACCTTGGACCGCGGACAAATCACGGTCTCTCCGCGACAGAGGACAATAAAAATAAGGGAAAAATGAACGAAATAAAAGATAAATATGGAAGAAAATAAAAATGTAAATAAATTCAAACACTATCCTCACGGATATATTACTATTATATAGTTGGTTAACTGTATTTGTGTTTCAGTTCACAGAGCACCATGACTTAGTAACGCACGAATAAGATTATATATATATATATAAATTATGTACATATAAACGTGTACATGTACAACTAGTGTAGTTACTTGGATTATTTCAGTTTTAAACGTCTTTGGTGTCGGATCTGATGGCAACTAAGATAAATAATACACGTTTATAGAGATAGGTGTATGGCACATTCGTACGTGAGTGTTTTTTTTTTTTATCGTGGTTTTACAATACATCATTGTTGTCTACATATTGTTTGGAAAACTAACGAAATAATATAAAATTTATAACTGTGTGTGTTCAACACATAATGCCGGCGCGCGAGTAGAATATTCTTTTTTTCGCTCTTGACGTTCATTTGATAACCGAGAGTGTATAATAACAATAATAATATATTTCGCATCAACTATATAAAACATACACACATAGGTGTACACGTACACGTACAGATGTGTGCGTTTGCGTGTACATTTTATTATTGTTTATTATACATGTATACAGTGCCTTTTTTAAATTAGTTAACTGGGCGACACAAATGTTGACCTATGAAAATATGTTGTTGCCTAATTCGATGGTAATTTGAAAGACTCAGTAGAATACAGTTAATTGTAAAAAGATTTTTTTTTTAATTAAATAAAAAGAATAGTTAGGTAAT